TTTGGCTAGTGCTCCTTTTGAATGAATTTTAATTTTACATTTCGGATGAAGTATCTGACAAAAATTATTCATCACAGTTTGACTTTTCAGCTCAGCTTGTATTTCACGGTATACTAAATTGAGGGACACCTGATAGTGCATTGAACTTTATAAATTACAAAAAATGGCCACTCAGAAGAGAAAATGTCCTATTTTACTAGCTCAAGCTACATATTAACTACATTGATTGATAAACTAATGATAGAAAATAACTGGAAAAATTATCTATTCAAATTGCCGGGTAGAAAAAAAGAAACAAATGAACAACAAATAAAGTTCAACAATTATATTAAAAAACGGACTAAAAAAGATTAAAACTAAATACTGAAAAACTAAAAAGATTATTTCAAAATTTAAAAGGTAGAATAATTTAATGATGTAAAAAAGAAAATTCAAAAAGTACAAAAATTAGTGACGGTTATGTAAAGTACAGATATTTAAAACACATATTATTATGCTGACATCATAAATAACATGATTAACTTATATATTCAATAAATAAATTCATAGAAAGATTTATAAACAGTGTATTTATACATGCCAGAGAATAAAAATAAAAATAAACTCACTACAGTTTATTACCATTATACTTTTCTGTCAGATAAACACTAGCCGAATCATGCATTGAAGACAAGGTTGGGGAAATTATACATCAATAACATACATCTTACACGAAAACCGAATATTATGACATTCAAGAGACATTTATAAATATAAAGAAATATATATGAATGTATTTTGTTATTCATATTCATACTGTATCAGTATTCTTTAACCTACTTCAAAACATAATTTATCGCTGAGAGAATGAATTGAATGAAAACTGTGAGTCAAACTGATCTGATTGTGAGTGTATGAAGAGGAATCAGAGCAGCATAAAGCTTTTTAGAAGGAGTGAAATTTCTTTCAGGAGAATATGTGGGATGGAATAAGGTATTCACTAAATAAAATTAGAACCCCTAAAATTTGATTTCAGGGGGATTTTGTGAGGCCGGGTGGGGGTTGGAACAAACACAGGTCCTAAGAGAGCAAGCATGTGATTTCTAATTAACAGAGCTTCCACGAAACCATCTACCTTTGGAGAATTTAGAAAATTTGACTTTTGAAAATTTCAAATTAAAATATATGTATAGATCTTAATTCATTAATAGATGCAAGTAAATTAGGAATATTAAAACATGTATACTCAACGACTTTAAAGGTGGACAAAAGCACTTCAAAATGTACCATGCCGTCATTCATCAGGTTTTGAGACTGTCAAAAGTAATGGTTTGGTGAAACGCTTTCGTGTGATATAATAAATATTTACGCTTGTTTCCAAAACACCATGCCGATCGCACTGATATTTGTATTCTCTTGATCAGGAATCATTTGAGCGCCCAACTATTTATTTCAATTTTGATGTGTGAAGTTTTTTAAATTTTTTTTTAATTGATTATTTTTCCTTTCACAATACCTCTCAAATTGTGGCTTCAAATTACCAGAAAATTTAAAACTCCTGTTTAAGACCCGCAGTCATTAGAATTATTGAGCAAAATAAATTTGAGAAGTTCATGCTCAAGTAAAAGTTAAAAAAGGGTAGGAGACAATATAAGTGAGCTCTCACAAAAAGGTAAATCTTGGAACTTGATCTTACAAATAAAGAAAAAAAGAAGAAAATCACCACCCAATACGCACGCAAGTGAAATAATTACTTAAAAAAGCAAGAGGATTTAGAGTCTAAAAAAATAATTCAAAAATCGCAAGTCTAAGCCATTAGTCGTATTGCAAAACACTGATGAATACATTTGATATTGCTTTGGATATTTAATGCACTACGGCTATGCTTCTCTATCCTCATAATGAACATTGCAAAAGTGGGTACATACATGACAGGTGACTCATGTAAGGGCTTTCATGTTGTGAAGTTGGAATAAAGAGAGGGCCCCTTCGTTAAGTTTTTTAATTTCAATTTTTAACGGTAGCCACAGTTATAAGAGTAATTGAGTTATACTTATAAACAGTGTGGCAACAACAAATGAAGGGAGAGTGCAAAACGCACTGCTCCAACTGGATGGCGATTGGCTACCGCCTCAGTGATGACGGGAGCAGTGAGTCTTTCGCTCTCTCCTCATTGGCTGGCGCTATTACTGCGACCATTTTGTACCAAATGAGGTTCAGCACAAGCACCCACTGAAGATTCTGTCCATTTAATGGCCTAAAATGTTATTTACCTACGGGTTGGGCCACTCTCATCTCCAGTTTTTCAGAATTCAACAAACTTCAGTTTTAGAATATTAAATTTGGAAGAGACTTTTTTCGGAATAATTCTCTGTTGATAAATAAAGGGGGGAAAGGACGCATGGCTTTTAAATTTAGAAAATATTTACTTTTGAAGATAGAGGCCGTAAAGTCAATGATCATTTATTAGATATAATAAAAAAACGAAAAAAAGAGGTACCTGAATTCGTAGATTTTGCCAAATCCACTCATTTAGGAGAGTGCAAAATAAATATAGATCAGTTGATCATTAGATGGAAGTTTTAGAGCATATCTTTGAAAAAGATGAGATACACAACAAAAGGACTATTTCACGGCAAAAGTTGCAATGCTAATCTTCTTAAGTATCACCGAACAAAAGAGCAGTAAAAAAGTAAAAAAAAGCAGAAAAAGAGAGGAGCAGAGGGGGTCTCAAAGAACACATCTATGCGTATTAGAAGAGAATGATAAGTAAAATGTCACCCATAAACGTGATAAAAATAAGTCGAGCTAAAATCACAATAACAAAGTGAGTGAGATATAGAAGGATAGAGGTTGAGAATTAGCGATAAAAGAGAATAGAGCAAGTAGACACGACGCGAGAAAGAAAAGGACAAATACGAAAGGGACGTTGGAAAAGAGACGAAAACAGGAACAGAGGGCATGAAGAACAACAATAACCAAGCTGTAACTGTTCAGAAAATAATTCGCTATGGATATTATTCTAGGTACACCTATCAATAACAACAAATATAAAACTCTATATGTGAAGAACAATTAGGCCTATTAAATACATCATGTAATAAAATACCTTTTTCTTTTAAAAAAATAAAAAAATTATTGAATAAATAAAAGAAAATTGACTAAATTCTTTCACAAAAAGTTTAAAATTTAAGTTTAACGTTAGACATTCTGTATAAAAACGGAGAGGGATAACATAGTCAAAGAGACTCACCAGGTGATGGCGGAAGAAACTTAACCATGAATACAGCCTGTTCAACACAGGATACGCTACTTTTTCACAGACGCATGCATTAGAGGGAGGAAACAAACAATTAAAAAGTGACTTTAAGTTGCCACGCAAGTTAAACTTAATCTGATTAACATAGAAACTGAGAATCTATTCGTATAACCGTTCTACGACGTGGCTAAAGGACTCAAAATACGCACTAGCTATATAAAAGGTTCATTGGTTGAGATGCCGTGGATACACATCGTGCAGCCCTAGTCGCAAACAGTTATGAAGGAAACAATCAATGTAAGAATATTACAGATATGATACAGGTATCAAAAAGTTCTTCGAACAAGTATAAAAAATAAACTAGAACTTGACCCGTGGTGCACTTTCCACTTTTGAGTCTCATCTTTTCAGTCATTTCGTTTGACCTCGGAATGAATCACATAACCGGAGAACACGAGTTTCAATAAAAGGAACCTTGATTGGATAGAAAGCTGTACATTTTTCAAACGGTCAATAAGTATTCAAGGCTACGCGAAAGATAATAACGTCATGAATGAGTCTTACAGCTTACGACTAGAATTCAACTGACCCCCGTGTTCCCAGAAAAAAGCACTCGTGATTCTGTCTTTAGTACAGGGGAAGTTACGAGACTGGATCAAACGAAGTGTAACGATGAGCCTTTGACTGCGATTTTTTACCTCCGAATTTTCAGGAGACAAAATAAAATAACTGCGTAGTGTTTGCTGAGCTCGAACCAAGACTTTGCTAAGGGGCGCGAAAAGCTTGTACCTGTCGTAAGACTATAGTAAACTTAGTTTTATAAAAAAAAGCTCTTTGGATTCCGCTCTTCAAGAGATAGCATTGGTATTTTCCTCCCATTTTTTATTACATGACATATTAGTTTGCTGATAGCCGTTCCCTCTTGAGTTACCCGTAGTAAGCATGTTATTTTGGGTGATATTGACACGGAATTATGTAGTGATAGGAAGTCATGACCCAGGCATGTTAGAAAAATGATATGGGACGCTAAAAGTTAGCTTGTTGGACAATGTGTACAATGCTCCTTTGGTCTCCAAAATTATATAATCCCTATCACGCGAATTTTCCCCCTCACAGTTTTAGATATGCAACTTGAAGCAACAATTTGAGCCCCTTGCAAATTCCTAGATAGGCAACATTCAATGCGCTTTAAGCCTCTTGCGAAGTCTCGGATATGAAACCTGTAAAGCACCATGAGCCCCTCGCGAAGTCTCGGATCTGTAACCCGCAAAGCACTACGAGTTGGACGAACGATCAAAAGTGGATGGCGCCTCGGTTGCATGTATAAAAAATAATTAAAGTAAAGAGATCTTGCAATTTGTAACCAGATTATGAGTAACCAAGCCCTGCTGAAAATGGTGGGTAGGCCTCCTCCGTTTCGGCCAGCACTATTGAAGTATCCTCCTGGTATCAGTAGAAGAACGCTCCTAGTATCAGTGCAATCTCTTTTTACAGACCTGGATTTTCAATTCCACGGTCCCACCAGTAGGCACTCAACTCGTATCAGCAGACACTCGACTGATACCAGCAGATACTCAACTGATATTAGCAGATATTCAACTGATATCAACAGATATTCAACTGATATCAACAGCAGTGGCGTGGCGTGAATTGCGATCCATCGATTGTTATGCAATTTAAACCTATGGAAAAGGATCGATAAACTGGGTGTTCGCAGCGAACACCTTAATAATCGATTCTTTACCATGGGTTTAAATGGCATAACAATCGATAGATAGCAATTCACGCCACGCCACTGATCAACAGATATTGATATGATATCAGCAGATATGCAATGAATATCAGCAGATGTCCAACTGATATGAAAAAATTAGCAACGATCCGACTGATATCTTCAGAGTTCCTCTCCCATTCCCACGCATCATTTCACCACTATCATTCAGTGGAAATTTGACTTACACCATTGGAGATACAACTGATATCAGTGGAGATTCGAATAATCAGCAGAGCTTCAACTGCAATCAGTGGAGATCCGAATAATATCAGCAGAGCTTCAACTGAAATTAGTAGAGATCCGACTGATATTAGTAGAGATCCGACTGATACCAGTAGAGATCCGACTGATACCAGTAGAGATCCGACTGATATTGGTAGGGATCCGACTGATATCTCGGGAGTTCCTCGCCCGTTCCCACTCACCATTTCCAGCGGGGCAGACAAAGAGAGGAAAAGGAAACAAAAGGAAAAACGTGGTACTACGCTGATACTTGCTACGGGGCACCGGCGAGGAGGGATTAGTTGGCGACGAGGAGGTGCTGGTAGGGGCTGGCCGGGTAGGAGCCGAGCCCGAAGTGATCCGCGGAGCTCTGCTGGGCGGGGTTCATCGGGGACCCGGCCGGGGAGGAACTGGAGAGCTGACCCGCGCCGGAGCCGGAGTTGAAGAGCTGCGACGTCGAGGGCGGGTCCAGGTAGGAGGGGAACTTGGGGTAGAGCTCCGGGACGAACGGCGGCGTGTGGGCGTCCGCCGCGAACATGTTGCGGTACGCGGAGGAGCCATTCCCGTGCCCGGGGTAGCCGGAAGTGGAGTGCCCCGAGTGCTGCTGGAAGTAGAAGTCCGCGTGCGGGGACAGCGAGCGCCCGCCGGGGGAGGCCGGCGAGAGGGTGTGCGAGTACATCTGCTGCTGCTGCAGGGCGCGCTGCTTGATGTAGTTCGAGAACTCCGTCGGCGACATCCTGAAACACAAATAAAACCGTCGTTAAGCTCTGGAATTATAGCTTCGTTTTCTTGTCAATGATACTTTAAAACCTGGTTTTGCATACCTTCTCAATTGAAGGCGATAAGGGATAAGTTTAAAACTGAGCTCATGCAATGTCCGAATCCTCGTTTTTTTGGTAATGCAACTATAAAGGCTTCGGAGAACCCGCTTTTGCATATCTTCCCAATTGAAGGCGATATGGAACGAGTTACACCTTAACCGATTGACAGCGATTTGCTCTGATCGGCAGCCCCGAGATTCGATCAAATCCGCGCTTGTCGATCGATTCACGTTTTCATATTTGATCTATTCATATCGATTGAACCAACGGTAGTTTGTGGTGAACTGACAATGTGGCTACCGCCACTCATAATCTAATTGATATCAACCACATCGCAGTGGTTTGGTGCAAGTTCTCAATTTTCGATCCAAACAGTTCCATTTTCCATTCCGACCTTCGGCTACCACGCGATTCATTTCAGACGCGCAGAAGACTAAGCGGTGACCAGCGGCGATTTAACAACTCGGCAACACGATTCTTCTTCCATTTAAATACATTAAAAATATCTATTTTAGGTGAGACAAGCTGCCGCACCAAGAATCGATTGTTTCACATGCATTCAAATGGAAGAAATACAATGTTGCTAACTTTCAAGAATCGCCACTGGCAATGACTCCATCAGGGGAAACGACAGCGGGCGGTAAAATCGTCGCTCTTATGACATAAAGGCGTGTCTGGATTTCCAATTGAGCCCTCGAAAGCATGGAGTTATACGGAGAGCAAGGCTCTCGTGGAAAGGGAGATAGAATCTTGCGTCAGTGGACGAGAAAAAGCACCCTTTGTTCTTGCATAATGCATCGAGAGAAGTCAGCGACTCGCGCGACATAACGGGAGCGGTACGTTGTTTCCCTCGAAAAAACTAGTGCTCTTATTTTAATACGGAAATAAGTTTTTTGACCCGTGAGCCAATGTCAACATCCATATTTAACAGCCGTTCCATGATTTATGAACCAAAACCATTCTATCTTGACAGATTTCATCTGAATAATACTACCGTGCGAGGAATAAAGCCGCAAGAACATCAAAACTTTGCCACGTCTCTCCTTAAAAAAATACGAGTCACCAATCAAATTTTTGATCATTTTTGTATAATTTTCAGAGAATCCTAGGAACAATTTAACCGAGAATATCTGAATATTTAAAGAATAATTAAGCATAACGTGACTCAGAAATACATTTTTACCGATATTAAATCGGCAGCGTCTGAATATTGTCGTACGTCGTTTTTCATGACGCGACCAAAAACTGTCATGCTAAAGTGCACACACATCGAGAGCGTTTGAATGTTGATAATTTGCCCCCCTACGCCCCACCCACCTATGCACTCCCTACGTCCCACCCCTCTCCGCCCACCACCCCAATTAAAATTATAATTTTTGAGAATTTTTATCCTACATTTCTTAACTCTCCTGACTCTCCCTAAATGTTAAATGCTTTGAAATCTTTAAATTACATTTTCCATTTCCTAGAAAATTAGCGGGGAAGTATGAACAAGTTTTCTTGAACATTCGTATTTCATCGACTGAAACGTGGCAAAGCCTGAAAGCTCGTACAGCAATTTTCCTTGGCGCGGAAGACTAGGGCAGTGGATTCTTTATTGGGGAGTAGACGGTCTGCCATTGTTGATAGAGATTTCCTTATGTATTTATTCAGTTCCATCGAAGTACATGAATTATATTTGTTCGTAATTTCCTCGTCGACAATAATTGAATTTGGACGCATTTCTACCAAACGGAACTAAGTGCATTCAGGCATGAGCCCTGAGACCTATAAGAGTATCTGCATAACAGGGCTCACGTCATGATGCACATAGTTCCGTTTGGCAGAAATACGTCCATTTGTAGTTAGCGCTCAATCAATTCTATCTCCCGAGGATTTCCCCTCTCTTTCCTGGAGCTGATGACAGCTGTTAAGCTGAGTCTAGCTCGGTAAATTTCCTACCATTGATTTTTTTTGTAATTGAATCGACACGTTCGCAAATCGAAGTTCAGTCTATGCATTGAAAAACTTTAAGTCACGTGTACCAAAAATGTTAGTAATCCATACTAGTGAAGGTTAGTAATTGGGACCAAAGTTTTTTCTCGGTCTGCACTTGTAAAAATGTTTTTTGAGCACTTCAAATTTCAAGGCCGAAACAGACTCAGCACCTGGCCTTTACACAGAGTATTCGATCCCTGCTTGTGATGTCTGTCTGAGACAGTTGTAGGGGATTTGACACGCTATGAGCTAGACGTGCGTGGCAATTGCTCACGTGCATGTGACTCTCGAGAGTTGCCACGATGTCGTCCACATGCATAACGTTTAAAATACACAGGTGGTCAATTTTTATGACGGCACTCATCGTGTTTTTTAGTTACACGTTGCGTCTGCTCACGTCTGTGACGATAATTTTCACGAAATTTCAGTTCTAATTTGTATGTGTGCGTATTTTTTCTGTTTTTTTAACTTTTCATTTCTCCCTCACACTTTTCTATTTTTTTTTTATGTCAAGGCTCTTCGAACTTTTACTGCGCACATTACGAATCTTCCAACTGTTATGGTAGGATCGCACCGAGCACACCGTACAGTTTTCGTGACAAAAAACAGACGGGAAAACTAGAGATTTACGCATCTTTTTACAGGCACTCTGTCATCCTATATTTTTTTCTCATTCTGGGAGAACCGACTCATTTATTGCGCTTCAAATTTGACGCAACTTGATGCGTTTCTGTCAAAATTGATCAAATTAAACTACCTCATATTTAAGGAATGTATTGGGGCTACGAACAATGAAACAAACCTTCAGAGGATCGGGTTTATGTGTATCCTTTTCGGTCAATTTGTTTAAGTACACATTAAGTCATGAATAGAGGTCATACCTTTTCCATGCAGACAACCTAACAAGTGAACGACTGTCGCTCATACATATGACGAAAACTGAGCAAAATTTTCAAAATTGGCTATGACATATCGGAAACACATCCCAGGAAACATTAAATGAACCGTGTAAAGCAGAAAATAACCATGCCACATCAGCTATTGCAAAATTTTACTGGGCATTTTAAATTTCCAATAGAAAACGGCTAGCTGTGATAATTTTTGAGCGAATTTCAGTGAATTCTATAAATAGTGCAAAGCAAATACCTTCAAATTTTCAAAGGAATTCCAACAAACGTTCTCTTGAAAAAAATTAAATTGCCCACTTTTTGGCAATAGCTGATGTAGTTTGGTTCCTTTCTGCTGAACGGCCAAATGGCCTCGTTAACCTTCATCCAATACTTTGTTCTTTAATTAAACGTTTTTCTCTCTACCTGTAAAATGTGATTCTTCGTATATACTAGGTTTCAGCATCGAATTTTTTAGTGAACAGTTTATGTGACGAAGAGGCATCATCGGAAAACCACGCATCAACTACATTGTTAACTCAAATTAGAGAAAACAATAGACCTAACTCGAGAGGAAATTCCTAATATACCAAGAACCTTGAAAATTGTTTCCAGTTTGCGGCAGAGGCATTCATTATAAATAGTGACCTCAGTTGTCTCTTCAGAGCTGCGCATGGAAATTACAGCGGGGAAAATTGACCACGTAAAAAAGAGGCCGACATTTTAGAACTATGAAGTCATCGAAGAAAGTGTAGCATACGCATTATCATACGGTTATGAGATGAAGGCACAATTATAACTGAATCTATGCGAATCTTCCCTCTTTCCTCTCCCTTCCTATGCAGTATGCTTTCATTTCCTCTACGTCAAAAACAGGCAGAAAATTTCGAGATTTTAAAGTTTCAAATTTTAGCCATCTATAGTGAATGTTAAATAATGAGTCTTATTTGGTTGACAATTTTCCACGGTTTCTGAGACAGACCATTCAACTTAACATCTTTTTAACTTATACTTCTCTATGGACCCGGTTTTTTTTTCAAACGGAAGCGCCGTGACACATGGCACGCTGCGGCGCGGCCAGCCAGCCAGCACGGAACGCGCCTACAAACCTAAGGGATACTTCAAGCATTGCGCAATGCGTGAAGTATCTGCTTAGGTTTGTAGGCGCCAGTGCGCGTTCCGTTCCGTGCTGGCAGCACGTCGCATTCGCATCACTCCGCTTTTTGCTAGGGCATATTCTTTAAACTCGCGGAGTCAGCGATTTCAACTCATGATTTTTATATGTTTGCACACTCTGCATGGATTACTTTAATTTAAATTGATAAAAAAAAATATCTGTGTATGAAAGGAAAATTTAATGTGTGTTTTGTAAATATTAAGGTGTTCCCTTGTCGTATTTAATGATTTTCAAAGCACATTAATTTTTTCTTTTATATTTTGGGCTTTTACTGTGCTGCAGCGTGGTGTGAGCGCAACCAAACGCTCATAATAGGACGTATTTGACTCTGAAAGATCGATGTACAAATGGGCTAAAACCGGAGACTGCGTGCTTTTCGGTTTTTTCCCCTCTTTTATTCATTTGTGCATAGTTCTTATTTGTCACGTTTTAAAAATGTAAATGTTTTTAAAATTAAGTAATATTTTCATTTAAAAAAATTATTAATAAAGTTCATTTTTCATCGAAAATTTTCAGGATGGAAATAAAACCAAATATTCACCCATGACAATTTAAAAAGATTGATCAAAAGAAGGAAATAAAATTTCATTTAAAAAATGAGTTACCACAATCCTCAATTTTCTCATTTCATTATCGTCAATATAATTTTACATACGGATTAAAATATGACACTTGGACCAAGTCACCGTTGCTAATTTCACGCGTGGACGTAAACTACTGGACAAAACAGGTGTGCGGACAAAAAATCGTTAAAGGAATGCCCTGAAACCAACCCAGAGGCTTACGCCCTCTGTAACTCCCCTTCTGGGTACGCTAATGTATTTTGGTAATTTTGTGAGGTGCTCAATTTGTTGTTTTACGTGGAGAAAATGTCTATTGAATAGTCTATGGAGGAATTTTTTCTGACGTGAAAATGAATAAATCAGGGAATTATATTCCAGGGAAACGAAAGCACTTAATAGCCAAGTTTTTATTCCTGTTCCGTTCCTATGTAAAGTCTTCAAAATTTTAGTCGATTCTTGTGGATCAAATTAGTAAGTAAGTAAGTAAGTAAGTAAGGCCGGGCTGGCCGGCGAGGCGCCCTCAAGGGGCCAAGGCAACTGGCAACTGCCGTCGTGCACCCCGAAGTTGGACCGTACTCCTTAACTTATCTTCGTACTATTGACACATTGAGTATCAATTATATTCCCGCAAGGCTCAGCGGCCGTCTGATAGCCAACGGAAGGTCTTATCAAAGACTGTGGCAGACGCTGCAGAGCACGGACTTTCGGAGCACGGCCATGCCTCCACCGAGTTGGACTGTGTTGTTGCAATCTACACTGATAGGTAGCGCTGGCAGTCGCGCACACTACGAGTGATAACCGATTTTTCACAACCCAGTCGAACAGTGCAGACGGATTACTTACTGGGTGACTATGTCCCTCCCGCACCCTGTAACCTCGAAGGGTCAGGGTATTGGAGTGGCATAGTCATCCACAGTCACGATGACTGATATTTGAGTGTCCTCAAATATCAGTCACCTCCGGGGATTGAACCCGGGACCTCAGTGCTGGCAGCGAACTGCCTTAACCACTACACCACTGAGGCTGACGGATCAAATTAGTACCTAACCTCTCAAACACTTAAAAAATCTACACCATTATAATGTAACTTGAATTCCGGCTTTTATGGGTATTAAAACGACGCGAAACTGCGAAATGAAGGACATTTCGTTAACTGGAGAGGTTAGGACAAATATATTCCCCAGGTAGTTCGCACTCGTCCTTCAGAATAAAGACTGGGAGGATAAATAATAGTCGAAGAGAGGATGGTTGAAACGAGTGGAATTTAATTGATTCGACCTTGAGCCGAAGGGCTGTTGATCGAAGCGCCCGCCGATTCAGGCGATGTTTAAAACCTATCATAAGTCAATATTCTGGTGACCCGTGAGCTCCATAAGAACCCCGGTATTCTAGGGTTCATCTAGTGATTGACATGATCGGTTTCAACACGACCGATTCAAGTGTGGAAACCCGCGAAAAGGTAAACACTCCGGTCCCTGGAGATGAATTAGTATCGAGTGAATTTTAAGGCGCCTCCTAATGGCTTACCGAGTAAATTCTCGTCGTTTGGTCGCACTCTCTGACTTATCTCGTTCACAACGCTGCTTTCGCTCAACGTCGTATCAAAGTCTCGTTTATCAACATTAATTCTAAATTATTTCACTGATTATTTACGGGAACCTGGAGTTCACTCTTTGTTTTCTTTCCGACTCTTTCAATTTTTCCCACCCTTGAGGTGTACGAACTTGTTTATGGATACTTTAAAATCACCGATGAGACCAAAATGAATGAATCAGTTGTTTGAACTAAAGCATCAATATAGGAAGAATATTGTCACCCCGCAGTTCAAGTGGCACAGAAAAATCATACCGCTCTTAGGAGTTACTAAGGCTTGAAACTTGAATTCTGAGGGTATTTTCAAACCGATTTTTTTCGTTTGAATCAATCATTTTGACAAGAATGATTATAACCTTCGTTGTGTCATAGTCTAAGTTTTACAGACTGAAATTCTGGTTGAAGTGACCAGAAAAATCTAGCTCCGAAATACATGTGCGCAATGGGCCACTAAAAAGATAAGTAAAGGCGCGAGTAGGTCGTCACCTTCCGGCCGAAGTATCAAAAACGTCATGCAACATTTCAAAATGTTCGCAGCCATTTCATTATTTTACAGAGAAATAACTCAATGACACTATCCGAAAATGTCACTGAATTTTCTTGGTGCTGCCGATAATATTCAGTGGAATTTTCAAATAGATTCAACGAATAATTTCTTCGTAAAAAATAAAATGGTATGGTGAAATTCTGAAAAGTCGCATGGCGCTTCTAATACTTTGGCCGGAAAGTGACGATTTATAATCTGGTTAAAATTGCGCGAATGGAAAGCGCGTACCCGGCAGCGTGCTGTGCGCTCAATGCGTAAAGTATTCACGCATACTTCACGTATCCGTGAATTCACTTCTGTAATACTTCACGTCTACGGTCTTGTAGGCGCTAATATGCGTGTCACGCCAATTGACCGACTACAATGCGTTTGGCGCAATGCGAGAAGTATTCATGCAGTCTTGTAGGCGCTAACATGTGTTAGCCGCCGACCTTCAGCCATAAAGTGACGAGGCATGTTTGAAACTTTTGTAGGTATGTATAAGCCACTTTTACGGCGCGCTAGGGCGCTCTGCGACGCCTACCTACTCTCCACAGGAATCTGTCATGGAAGAGATCCTCCGGAAGCTTGCATCTCTCCACCTCTTCATGGATGCCCTCTACCCACCGTTTGGCTGGACGCCCTCTCTCAAAACGTTGTACCGTATAGAAACTTATTCCAAACTTCAAAATTAAAAAAAAAATGTGTTCTCACCTGTTAGCCCTCTTGCTGCTGGTCTTGAGCTTCGTGCTTCCAAACTTGGTCTGCGCAAACGTGGCCGTCGTGAACGTGAGCGGCGCCGCGCTGGACCTCGGCAGGAACGAGTTAACAGACATCGTGGGCGAGACCTTCCCCGTGCCGAACTGCGGGGCGCCGGGGTTGGAGGGCGTCGGCGACGTATTAGCCGAAGGGGCGGAGGCCGCGGGGGGCGCCCCCTGGCTCCTACTGCTCACCTGCAGCACACTCGGGAACGGCGGAGAACTCGACTTGTTGTTCGGCGAGATGTTGAGCTGACTTAAACTGGACACAACAGCGTCAATCGGCCGGAAGCATTGGGCCTCAGGGTTGAAGGTTTTATTAACCTCTCGATCAGCGGAACAATCATCTTGGTGGTCGATCGACTCGCTGAAAAGCACCTTCACTGCGCCCTTTTCACCAATCCTATAGCTGACCTCGCCGGGATCAACCCAGACGGCCAACTCCTGGGGTAGATTCTCTAGGATGTCTTGGATGAGCACCCCGGACTCCCTAGCGGCCTTTTCCAAGACGGGGTCAACAGGGTCACCTGTCTTGATGCAACGGAAGGCTGAGCCTTTGAATGGCTTTTCCGGGTACCAGTGCCCCCGGAACTTCTCCTTGAGGGCTTTTTCTAGCTCCTCGCCGAAGATGTTGACCCTCCGTCTGGGGAGTTTGTTGTAGAGGTAGGAGATGACGAAGTTGAGGGCCACCTGTATCTCGATATGCATGTTGCGCGGGTGTCGGGCTCGGACGGGGTTGAAGCAGACTCGGTTGCGGGTGCGGTTCCGGGGATTTACATCTAGCTGCGCGGTTTGAGGCGCCGGCGCGGGGTTCGTCGGGGGCTGGGCGCGCGCTCGCGGGGCTCCGTCGCTTAGCGTCGCGATCTTGGCGTCGGGACGCTCGCTCGGGGGCTCAGAGGGTCACTCCGGAGAGGATCGCAGCACCTGGAACAGAAAGAAAAACGACTGGGTTAGACTCGTCATTAAACATTATTTAAGCCAGGGGAAAGGCTGCACATCAAAAATAAGTAACGAACCGAGACGTTTCGAAGTGTCACACCTTTATTTGGACAACATTTTGCAATTTGGAACTATAAATTCTAGCCCGGCTTAAAAACAACGTATGTGCCATTACTTTCCCTATGCACATAAGTGTTTTTCAAGAAGAGCCAGAATTTATAGTTCTAAATTGCGAAATGCAGTCCGTTTGGATCTCGTTAAGCAGAAATGAACCAACCCACATCAGCTATCGCCAAATTGGACGTATTCTTGCCAAACGGAACTATAAGCACAGAGCCCAGATGAAGACATGATCCCTGAGACCCATAAGAATAGATGTATGACAGGGCTCACGTCATAATGCACAGAGTTCTGTTTGGCAGAAATACGTCCAGTTTAGATGGGAAATTCAATTTTTTACATGAAAACGGTTGTGCGGATTTTTTTACGAATTTTAGTGAATTTTCTGCATAGTACGAGGCAATTCCTTAAAATTTCCAAAGAAATCCGCTCAAACATTCTCTTATAAAACATTATATTGCACGGTTAAATTTGGCAATAGCGGATGTGGCTTGGTTCCTTTATGCTGAACGCGGTCCATTTTAGGAACCTAAAAAATGGTATCTTATTTTTTTCTAATCAGAAGCCGTCTCTAAATTACGCAATGCACTTATTTTTGCAAAATTTTTCTGATTTTTGCATGAGATCAGAAAAAAAATCAGTTCTACAAAAGCCCAAGATTCTCTCTTCCAAGATTCCCAAGGTTCAATTCGCTGGGCGAAATTTGGCAACATTGAAATGCAGTTACGTTCTCTCCTAAGAGAAACGACGATATGTCAAATATGGTCGGTGATAATAGAGTAAGATTATAATAACGTCTGCACTATGAGATACTCATAATGTGGCAGCACTGCCTCACAGGGACACTGGGTTGATCGCCTGGAATTGAATTGAGTAGAGCCTTGGCACGAGTTTACAACCGCAGCGTGAAAGAGTGGTCAGCGGACGTACTACAACGTACGACAAACGCGCGGGATTTAAATGTGAGCGGGGGCTACTGCTCCCCTGTTCAACCCCCCTCTCGCCTCCCGCATCCCCCCGTCCCCCCGAGACGAGGAAACGAGCAATTTATCCCGAACTGTGACGGATCCCCCCAATTCGCGCCCCGATCCAGTTCTGACCTGTAGGATATCCTCGACTCGGTGCTCCGCCGCACAATGGTGCTGGTCGTTGGAGGAGGTCGGACATGAAATTTTTTATTAAAAATGCAAATTTTGATTGTTATTTGGTCACGTTTTTAATTTTAAGGGGTGATCCTTCATGGGAATTCACCTAGGAAAGGTGAGAAACCACTTTTAAACTTCTACGTCTTAAGTTACACCGAAAAAAAAGTGAAGTTGATTCAACATCCTAGATGTAAAAAAGGTGTGCGAGAGCTCATCAAATGCTGAATTACCTGCCACAGCAGTTAATTTTACATCTTGTCATTGCTGAAGTAACTGCTATGGCTGGTAATTTAGCATTTTATACGTTCTCGCACACTTTTTTTACATCTAGAATGTTAAATCAACTTCATTTTTTTTTCGGTGTAACGAAGATTTGTCGATCCCCCGTCGAGAGATTGCAACTCCATTCCAAAGTTGCAAAATTAACTCAAGTAAAACAATTTTCTAAAATATTGATAACAGCGCCATTTTCATCCAAAATTTGGCTGATTTTTGCGGGTAGAAGGAGGAAAAATAGATGAAACTTTCAGTCAGAGACGCCCAAAAATTTCCTATTCAAAGTACAAATTGCTGGTGTAAAAATTCCAGCATTGAAATGCAGTTCGTTCTCTCGTCTGGGAAACGACAATATAAGCTTTTATAATTTCCACATCTTGTCCGACCTCTCCACTGAAAAAGAAACTCCGGCTTTGGGATCAGTACCTACGGACTATATAGACGTACCGTCCGCGCTCTGGGTGCAGAGGCCTAAAGTTCCGGGCGTATAGCACCCGGAGCAATCAAAGCTACGACTAGCACCTGGAACTTTCGGCGTCTGAACCCGAAACAGACAGTGTGTCTATACTGCCGTGCTAAGGAAAAACGCCGTAGGTACCCTCAGGCGTTGCCAAATTTCCTTCGATAAAACGTCGTCTCCCGCACGAAGGAACGTAACTCCAATCCAAGGTTGCCAAATTGACTCCAACAATTAATTTATTCTACAAAAATGTAAATGTGCAATTTATATCCAAATTTGTCTGATTTTTGCATGAAATCGGAAGAAAAATCAGGGAAATTTTCAGTTAGAAATGCCCAATACTTTTCTGGTTAAAATGCAATTTACGAAAGGAAATTTGGCAACATTGAAATGTAGTTACGTTCTTTCGTGAGGACAACGACGAAAAGACGAATTTCTTGGAGAACTTGCGAATATCTTCCTTCCAATTTTCCAGATAATATCGTTCCCAATCGCACCTAAAGTGCCTGAAAATTTCAAGGAAAAATCTTCATAACGTTCCCTATAAATAAACATTTTATCGAAGGAAATTTGGCAACTCTCGAATGTTCGTTCGGCGTTCTTACCTAGCACGGCAGTATACAGCCCATAACTTTTTTTCAGTGTCCCAATCACTCGTCTGCCACGCTAAGCAGGAACGCCGTAAAACCATCGAAATTTTCCCGCGTTTTTTGGAACTTAACACTTCATGAAATAAAAATTGTTTTACCATGGCCCTCAAATTTTCAGGTTAGGTTCTTGAGAGTATTTGCGAAAGAATTCTGTAAGAACATCGTCCCAAGGCTTACAAGTTTTTCTGCTATGCACTGGAAAAAAACACATTGGATCTAGAGTCGAGACTCTTGAAAACATTGACAAGAAAAATGACTCTTGATTCAATCAGATTTAAGCTTAAATCAAAAGGAAATCCGCTCAAATTAGGAGGCTTGGTTCTTGATTTAAGCTTAAATCTGATTGAATCAAGAGTATTTTTTCTTGTCGATGTTTTTAAGAGTCTGGACTCTAGATCTAATGTGTTTTTTCCAGTGTGGTACAATGTTTCCAAAAAAATTAAAGTGGCATTTACGGCGTTTTTGCGTTGCACGGCAGCCGTCCCCTTGTGCGGCGAGGGAGGGGCGACGGGATGCGGGGGAGGCGAGGGAGTGAAGAATGCCGTGCGATGAAGGGGGACGGGTGGGGGGCGGGGGAGTGCATTGTGACAGAGTGCTCTTTGGCAGAGGGGAGCGCGAATAATTGGGTTAGGAGGCTTTTATTTTTGGCACGCTGCGGGTCGCGGCACGGAAGGTTCCCCCCGTCTCGAGGATCTGGGTCGATCCGGCTCGAGCCTTCCCGTCGCGCGCGTTTTATGCCCCGTCCGAGCGAATCCACGCTCGTGCCTTTCCGTTTCGAGGGGGCACTCCCGGGTGGAGTGGAGCGTCTTTTGCCTTTTAGGTTGCCCTTCATCGCGCAGGCCCGATCCATCGTGCTGAAATGCCGAAGAAAAATAACGTCGATGACGCCCAGAGGCGGATTCAGCAATTTGGCAACACCGGATTTCCTACATTTAAACCAATGTTGAATAATCGATTCTTGTCGGAGCACCCGACCCCGACAAGAATCGATACATTCCTATTGGTTTAAATGGAGATAAACAATGTTACCAATTTGCTATTTCTGCCGATGACAACGCCAAATTTCTTGACTTACGAATCTTATTCTACTGTGTAAGAGTAACGCATGACGTCCGAGGCGCGAGGTTCCGCGTGGGGTTTGACCGCGAGACGATAGGGGGCGTACCCTTAATTTGTCAAAAATTCGCTGTTTCCCAAACGAAGGAACGTTGCCTCGAACCGAGACTGTAAAATTGACTTAAACCACCCAATTTATCACATGAATAGGAAGACAATTCAATTTTTCTTCAAAATTGTGATGATTTTCTCTCGTAATCTAAAGAAAAACTCGTGGAATTTCCGGTTAGAAACGCCCAAAAGCTCACTTATAAAAAATACTTCTTGCTTGTGAAAATTTTAAAACTTTGAAATGTTACGTTCTTGCGTCCAGCAGACAATAAGTTGGTGCCGATGTTGGCAGGTTGTTGGAAGTTTATTACGTTTCAGGATTGGTGCTAAAACCAAATAAAACCAAATCTCCGGTAACTTTAGCGTAAATCTCTTTGGGCAATCTGCCGTTTTTCTGCTGAGATAACTCCATTCAGCCTGAGACGACTGACCCCATCAAAAAAGAATCTGTCAGCCATTCGCTGTATCAAGGCAGTCTCCCTATACGGAATTTGCCAAACTGACTGATCAAATCTTTGGTCAATCACTACCCTCAAATTTGAGCGTTGCCTTCCGAGCAAAAGTTTCACATCAGGAGGACAGCAAGAGGAGTCTCTACAATATATTCTCTCTGCCCGTAGTGTTTAACTGTCCATTCTCTCCTCCTTGAAGTACCTTACCCGAAGGCATTCTAGACAAACGGAGTAAATAGAGCGAGGCTGGCGGAAGGGTAACGCCATGAAGATGCAGCGCGGATACCAGTAGCGGAAATCGAGTATGATTAATCGACGAGTATCGATTAGCGATATTAGCAGTGATAAGCGCTGATTAGGAGTTGAGGGAGGTTAACCGGTGAGGATCAGATACGGGTCAAATGGATACTGGCACGGGCGGGCGCCACCGCTGCTGATTGCGAGTCGTAAATTAAGAGATTACGACGATCCTTCTGCCGAGTGAAGGAAAAGCGCCTAACTATCATTGAAATCTTATGAATATTGGTTGTTTTTTACTACTACGGCAAGTTTCCTGCGGGCATCACCGCTAATAACGGGAAAGACCCCGCGCCGCCTTCCCTCGGGATTTATCGTTCGAGGTTTCGCAGCTTCGAGCAGTTCTTCTACTCAAAAACTTAAAGAAATAGTTAAACAGTTTCCTTTGGTATAAAAAAAATCGTCTCTGATTTAAATA